GTTTAGGGTTTAGGGTTTAGGGTTTAGGGTTTAGGGTTTAAGATCGGGGTTCCTTCTTCTGACGTTGAGAGCATGTCAGAGTTTAACGTTAAGAGGGGGCTCAGCCACATGGAATCCGCCTCCGGTGCACCTTATTTACAAGGTGGGGCCCCCTTGTTATAAGTAGAGTTATAGGAGCCCTAAATTGGGTTATAAGGATCCTAAAGTAGGTCGTAAGTCCCTTAACTACAGTTAGTATAGTAAGGGGGCCCCTCCTTGTAGAGCTAGGATTAGCCTGGTGGGCATGGCCAAGCAGGAATCCTCACTTGCAAGTCGAAGGCCCGCTTCTTCCATCGCCCCACAGGCAGCAAAAACCTGGGCCTTCCTCTACTCCTTGTTCACGTGCCACTGGGGCGTCGATTTTTTGAGGGCGCTTAGGGCTCAGGGAGCTTCGGGCGTAGGTATGTTTAGGTGGTTTCTCAAGAAAGGCTTGGAGTTGTATGTCAGGGTAGAGGAGGAAAGGGGGGGGGGCGAGCTCTTGGCTTGTTGTGTTTAGAGTCTCGAGTGTAGTGGAGAGGCCTGGATGCACAAGCATCGAAGAAACATCCTGTTGGCTCAAGACCCTGAAGTCTTCTCATGTGTTTCAGCAAGTAAAATTGTGAGAGGTTTTGCAGCACAAGGGGTTGAATGGTTTGAGCCGCCGTTAAAAGTGCCGGCTTCTAGGCATCGGGTATGTTTGGCTAAGCTGGAAAGCTCTTCCGAGGCTCCACAGGGGCCCGCCTCAGTCGCGCAAAGGAGACCCAGCTGGCGCCACGCGGCAGACAAGCTCTTATACAAGTAAGGTTCGGGCCATTTGTATAGTCATGCCACCCTTGTCATGCCACCCTTGGCCGGGAATCAAGGTTTGAGGTTCAGCATTCTGGGCGACCGCTTAGAGACCTGTATACTGAGTTCATTCCTCACTCGGCACCTTGCCTTACAAATCGAAAGCTTCCAAGTGTTTCGTAACTTCTATATCCGACATGTCCCTGAGGCATCAGCACACTTACTCCACCTTGCTGCTCCATCTCATGCCGAGCAGCCGACATCATGGAGTTTTAGCCTCGTGTCTCGGCTCATGCAGTTTATACAGTAAGGGATGGAATCTTTCCAGCGCAGCCCTACTGCTGAAGAAGGCCTTCCTGCTTGAAGCCCCACAGGTTTCTACGCCACTCTACCTCCAGTACAAGGTTACAGCGTGGTAGCAGACTCCCTCAGACCATCACCTCAAAAATGGTGTGCGTGTGCGCATGGGGTCTTGTCTGATGTATCTCAGGTTGCTTCACATCCTGGCGCAGAACCCCACGATTTGTGCCTCACCGGAAGTGGCAGCTTGAAAGCTTAACATCTCCGGAATGCTTCTCGATGCACACACACACACACACACGCACATGGCCCAACTCCAACAATAAGAGGTTGTCAGAGTTCCATTTGGATCTTGCTGAAGCCGGTCTCCTGCTTTTCATGGGTTCTGCAAGTGAAGGTAAAAGCTTGGGGCCTCACAGCTGCGATCTGAAACCGGCCCTTAACACCCACAACAGACTCGGAGACCATGGCTTAGGGTTCAGGGTTCAGGGTTTAGGGTTTAGGGTTCAGGGTTCAGGGTTTAGGGTTTAGGGTTTAGGGACAAGCCTGTGTAAAAAGGGTTTAGGGTTTAGGGGAAGGTTCATTCTCGCAACTGAAATTTCAAGGAGCATCCTCTGGGGGCCCCTGAAAGTGCCCACCACTTCTTAGGGTTTAGGGTTAAGGGTTTAGGGTTTAGGGTTTAGGGTTTAGGGTTTAGGGTTGAGGGTTTAGGGTTTAGGGTTTAGGAAGCTTGTCGCAAACCTGGCACCATCCCCGGCCTCGAGTCGATCTTATAAGCTACCATGTGCTTAAGAGGGGGTCGCTGCCTTGAGCGCCAAACCCTGAACCCTGAACCCTGAACCCTACACCCTAAACCCTAAACCCTAAACCCTAAACCCTAAACCCTAAACCCTAAACCCCATTTCAAGGAAGCCATGCTCATGTTCAGGTGAGACCATGCCTCTCTTGACAAAGCCCAAGAAGGTCCGACTCGTGCCGGCAAGTCGTGGTGGGCTTCGGCTTTTAGGGTTTAGGGTTTAGGGTTTAGGGTTTAGGGTTTAGGGTTTAGGGTTCAGGGTTCAGGGTTTAGGGTTTAGGGTTTATAGGGTTGAGGGTTTGGGGGTTAGGGGGCTTCTGGGTTTAGAGCGAGACTTTGAGATTGCGTTCCGGCCTCTGGAGCCCTAGACCCATGAGCTCAAGGGGTTCGCACCTGCGCAGGTTGCATAGAGAAGGACTAAACCCTAAACCGTAAACCCTAAACCCTAAACCCTAAACCCTAAACCCTAAACCCTAAACCCTAAACCCTAAACCCTAAACCCTAAACCCTAAACCCTAAACCCTAAACCCTAAACCCTAAACTAAACCCTAAACCCACCAAGGGCTTGTTGGGCAATGGAAGCTGAAGCTGACTGTGGCTCGGCATGGTTCCTTCCACCCAACGCACGGGCCTTGCGTCAGGGACGGTTTAGGGTTTAGGGCTTAGGGTTTAGGGTTTAGGGTTTAGGGTTTAGGGTTTAGGGTTTAGGGAACCGCAACATGGCCAACACCTGAAACTGTGAACGCCCCTTAGAGTTTAGGGTTTATAGGGTTTATAGGGTTTATGGGGTTTATGGGGTTTATAGCGTTTATAGGGTTTATAGGGTTTGTGGGGTTTGTAGGGTTTGTAGGGTTTATAGGGTTTATAGGGTTTATAGGGTTTATAGGGTTTATAGGGTTTATAGGTTTATAGGGTTTGTAGGGTTAGTAGGGTTAGTAGGGTTAGGGTTTGTAGGGTTTATAGGGTTTATAGGGTTTATAGGGTTTATAGGGGTCATGTGGACAAAGGGGGTTCGGCTTCCGGTACACCTTCGGTCGAAGGAAAAGGACATCTTGACCCAGCATGTAGGTCAGTGGTTATTTAACAAAGAACACCCTAAACCCTCAACCCTAAACCCTCAACCCGAAACAACATTCTCGGAACTACCCTTGAGGCTACAGCCCTCAAGTCCTACTCCTCGGCCTAAAAATCCTCAATCTGAAGCCCTCGGGTCGAAACAACACCCCTACAAGCAACCCCAAACCCTAAACCCTAAACCCTGAACCCCTAAGCCCTGCACCCTAAACCCTAAACCCTAAACCCTAAACCCCAAACCCCCTAAACCCTAAACCCTAAACCCCCCTATAGCCCCTGCAGTGGCCAGGAGATCCACCAATTTGTGGTCCAGGCTGCAGATGCCATGCGCCTCAACTGGCCGCCCTCACCGGAGTCCTTTCAGGACTGAGGGTTTAGGGTTTAGGGTTTGGGGTTTATAAGCCCACCCCAGACCCTAAACCCTCAACCCGTTAGGCGCAACGCCTCATGGGTAGCCTCCCAATCTCCGAGCATGCGACCCCGCAGTGCTGTGGCTTGTCGGGGGCAAAAAAAACCTAAACCCTAAACCCTAAACCCTAAACCCTAAACCCTAAACCCTAAACCCTAAACCCTAAACCCTAAACCCTAAACCCTAAACCCTAAACCCTACTCTCCAAAATGACCCTGCCAAGGCTTCCTTCTTGCCGATCTTCCCCAAGCGACCCGAACCCATACACGTGAAGCTTCCCTTCTTCCGAGAACCCGAGAGCAGATGTTGAGATGGCTTCGGGTTTAGGGTTTCGGGTTTAGGGTTTAGGACTTAGGCTAGGGTTTAGAGTTTAGGGTTTAGGGTTTAGGGCTTAATTAGGGCTTAGGGCTTGGGGAGCTCAGGGCTTAGGGCTTAGGGTTTTTTTTGTTCATAACCTTCATGGTAGGAGCTTCCACGCCCCATGTCCTCGGCGGTGGACGCTGCGTGGCTCCAGCGCGCTGAGCAGAAGGGTCCGGACACCAGATCAGGGTCTGGTTTGGAAACCCTAAACCCTAAACTATGCTTCATCACGCTTCCTGCAGGACGACTAATGAGTTCTGAGTTTTGGGGAAGAAGAGCTTTGGAGCTTTTGGGGACTGGGGCTGGGGTTTCGGTCAGGATTTGGGCTTCAGGTTTGTGGTTTTCGGGTGGGGGCTTAGGCACCCGGGTCCGAAACATCGAGGGTCAGCACTTTGATTTGGTTGGTGAATGCGGCCTTTGGGGGGACTGTGCATCTTGTTTCTGTTGCTTTGGGGCGAGTTTCTGATGCCAGCTCGGAACAGCTTGCAGACCCCGACCCGGACAACGATAATTCTCGTGACATCCAGAAGAATCGCAAGACCCAAACAGTCCCAAGCCACCAGCTTGCTGTCTTGCTCTCCAAAGGTGGTTTGTGTCCACGCCTGCTCTTCGCGCCGGAACTTTCCCGCGAAGGTGATGCCTGGATTCAGGGTCCATGGTTCACGAGATCAAGGGCGTACTGAGTAAATTGTACTGAAGAGGCTTGCTTGCGTTGCTGCGGCCATGGGCAGTTGGAGAAGGGATTCTTTAAATGCAGGCCCATCTTCTGAGACTTCAGTGCGTTGGAATGATCTGGTTGAAGTTTCAGGTCAGAGCCTCATGATGACTGCTAGAGTCATTAGGGTAATCCTGGAGGGCGGGAGGGGGGGGGGGCTAGTTGGGTTTCGGATGCTTCTTCTCAGTTGGGTTCGCTCGTAGGGTGGGGAGGATGCAACGTGGTGCACGCGCGCTATCTCGTGCATCAAGTGCTGCGTTGCGCGCACTGGGGCATCCTCCGAAAACTCCAAAAAGTCGAGGCTTGCTTCAGGTTCATCATATAGCTTCACACTGCAAAGCCTGGCGTTCATCTCGAGCATCACGGATTGAGGCTTGTTTGACGTGACGAGGTGGGGAGAGATGGTACACGACCATCACGACCACACAAACAGCACAACCTATTGCAACCTGCTGGTCCTCTCTCGCACGGAGCCATCGCCCAGTCTCAAGCTTGGGTTTTCGCAGTTGAGGGCTTGTTGACCCCTTCTCTGCGCGGGCAGCATGGGTTGTTGCAGCAACTTCTGTGGGCTGCTGGTGCTGGTTATCGCAGTCGGTGTCGGCTATCTGCAGACGTTCGAGCCCCTCGGCGCAACAAGTCCAGTGTTTTTTCTCGGTTGCTGTTGACCCAGAATCGCTCATTCTCCCGTCCTTGGTGGTTGCCTTCAGGACTCAACAGATTACGAGACAGAGGTTAGACACGTAACTGGGAGATCCTGACAAACGCTAGTTGAGCAAGATTAAAAGACCTGCCAAACCCTTGGCTATTCTATTCCAAAGCTGCAATGAATGGCCAAACCGTGTCGGGGCGGGGTAATGCTTTCCCTACTGCAGACATGCGCTCTATATGCGCCCGCGTTCCGCGTAATCGACCCCCCCCCCCCCCCCCCGGCAACCCCCCACCAAACCCTGCCTGTTAACCCTAAAAACACCACGGACCACGGGGGGGGGGGGGGGACAGAGAAGCCTCAGCCTAAACCCCAAACCCTGAACCCTAGCCCTAAAACTTAAACCCACCAATGAACGACGGGAGGGAGAAGGGTAAACCCGAAACCTTTGCTGCTTTAACTCTGAACCCTCAACCGTAAACCCAGCACGAACCACAGGGGGGAGAGGGGAAACCGTAAACCTATCATTACCCCGAACCTTGAACCCAAATCAAACTCTAAACCCACAGTGAACCAATGGACCAGAGTGAAAATCCTGAACCCTAAAGCCTAACCCTAAACCCCTAAACCCTAACCCATGAACCACAGACCATGAACCACAGGGGGGGGAGGGAACCCAAAACCCACCATGAAACCACAGGGGGGGGGGCTACCAGGGGGGGGGGGGGTGGGGGGGGGGGGGGGGTGCCTTGGACACTTAACGTCTATTCTGCGCGTGCTCTTTGTTTTCGCAAACCTCTCTGGGATTGGGTTCTCGTTTGGCGCTTCAACGCGGAAGGCGTTCTATCGGATCGCTTTCTGGCGAAAGAGGCCACGAAGAGGAGACGGTCAACGGAGGACGGTGGGATGACGGAATGAAAAAAGACGGGAGGCCACGGAGACGACACGGTCAAGGGAGGGGGGTCGGAACATTTTGCTGGGAGAGGGGCGTGGCGGACCATGCATGGATGTCAGGTTGACGCACGGGTTCGGGAACAAGGATGGGGGGGAGCGCGGACGGGGAGCATTCGGTCGATGGGCACGAGAGTCACACGCGGACAAGACGATGGGGTAGTCACCTAACGCCCTCCGTGCGCGCATGTGCGCGCCGCGCCCTCCGCGCCCTCCGCGCCCTCCGCACCCTCCCCTCCGCGCCCTCCGCGCCCTCCGCGCCCTCCGCGCCCTCCGCGCCCTCCGCGCCCTCCGCGCCCTCCGCACCCTCCGCGCCCTCCGCGCCCCCGCCCGCGCCCTCCGCGCCCTCCGCACCCTCCGCACCCTCCGCGCCCTCCGCACCCTCCGCGCCCTCCGCGCCCTCCGCGCCCTCCGCGCCCTCCGCGTCCTCTGCGCCCTCCGCGCCCTCCGCGCCCCCGCTCAGGACACTGGGTGCTGATGCTGAGGGTGCATTGCGTCTATTCTGCGGGTGCGTTGCGTCTATTCTGCGGGTGTTTCCTTTGTAAAGTATTTGTTGACAAGGCACGCACGTGCAGCATAGCCTTTAAGTGTCCATCTTACGAGGGGGGGGGGGGGGGGGGGTGCGCCTATGCTAGCCCCATACAAACCTCTGAACCTCAAGCGTGCAACCCCGGCACAAACCGGGACTGAAACTTGTCCAATCGTACTTGTGGTTGGGTGCAAGGTGTAGTTGGGACGAAGCTGTTGCTGGTGGCTGAGATTGTCTTGAAGTAGGTTTGGGGATCGCGTGCCTAAGATATCGCTCTTCATGACGTAGACACCAAATCGCCGTCAACCCTGGTAGTGGTCATCTCCAAAGATCAAGGTGTTTAGGGGAGCAGGACAACATTAATACCAATGCTAAACCCTAAGCCCCTTACACCAAGGTAGGAGCCAACACACTCATGAACTACCCGAAGCCACAAACCCTAAACCCTGAAGCCACAACATCCTCAGCCCTCACACCCCTACCAGGATGGGCTATTAGACCCTATAACCCCCCTAAAAAAGGCCCTTTAGTTATAGGGTTGATTCTAGGGATTACAAGGCCGAATAGCCCACCCTGGTTGGGCTTAAACCCTAAACCCTAAACCCTAAACCCTAAACCCTAAACCCTAAACCCTAAACCCTAAACCCTAAAACCCTAAACCCTAAACCCTAAACACAGTCTAAGGTATCCTTGGGGCATCGTCTTCCGCGTTATGTTCACCATCCAGGGCTATGGCAAGCCGAGCCTTGGAACGCCAATGGGAAGGCCCAGGTTTACTACTATTCGCTTAAGAACCCCCCCCAATTAAGGAAGAATATATATATATATATATATATATATATATATATTTTTTTTTTTTTTTTTTTTTTTTTTTTTTTGGGGGGGGGGGGGGGGGTGTTCATTTAAACTACTGAGTCCAAGTCTTCGAGGGTCACGTGAACATGTTTTGGCAAGGGCTGCCAGTTCCTGCGGCTTCCCTGACGTCAGGCCCACAAGGGTTCCTACCCAGAACCCCTAAAACCTAAAACCCCAAACCCTAAACCCTAAACCCTAAAGCCTAAACCCTAAACCCTAAACCCTAAACCCTAAACCCTAAACCCTAAACCCTAAACCCCAACCCCTAAACCCTAAACCCTAAACCCTAAACCCTAAACTCTAAACCCTAAACCCTAAACCCTAAACCCTAAACCCTAACCCCTAGCCGGCCTTGTGCGACTCCATTTAAGGGCACCTCCTCCACCTGACAAAGACATGCGGCGCTTCGGCCCCTCCCCCTCGCCGTTTTCTGAAAGCCTGGGACGAAACAAACCAGACATACCAAGGCCTATGCAGTGACCACTCATGCAACCGGGACACAGGGCTTAGGGTTTAGGGTTTAGGGTTTAGGGTTTAGGGTTTAGGGTTTAGGGCTACAACCCTGCGAGGAGGGGAGGTCCTAAACACCCTAAAAACACCCCAAGAAAGGGGGCAAGCCGACAAACCAAAACACGGAGGCCGCATTTTGTGCCCGTAAGTCAAGCCGCAGTTGGGAGCAAAGCGCCAGAATAGTTTAGGGTTCAGGGTTTGGCACAAAAGCGTTTTGCTGACTGTAGAAGCCCTCGAAGAGTTCAGGCTTTCATGGCAGTAGTAACTTTGTCGTGACCCTCTCGGGAATGGGCAGAGGGTAGGGTTTTGTTTTGGTTTCTGGTGCGGGGGGCACTCTTCTCTGTTGCACCGCGTGTTGCTGTTTCCAAGCCCCGTTTGTCTTTTCTTACTGCGGGTGGCCCCAAGTCGAAAGCTCCGTCGTTGAGGACGTTCTTTCCTCACAATCCCCGCACATATCCCCCACCTGGGCAACCCTAAACCCTAAACCCTAAACCCTAAACCCTAAACCCTAAACCCTAAACCCTAAACCCTAAACCCTAAACCCTAAACCCTAAACCCCACTCCAATGTGCACGTACAGTTCAGCTAGGCGGGCGGCAAAAAAAAACAATCCCTAAACCCTGCACCCTAACCAATTTGTTGATCGTTTTCAGGATGACGCAGCCTGTGCCAATGGATCAACCGATCGCGCCGCGCCCGAGTGGCTTGCCGGGGGTTTTAGGGTTTAGGGTTTGGGGTTTAGGGTTTAGGGTTTAAGGTTCAGAGCTTTCGTCCTCGTCCCAACACTTACTTCAGAGGAAACGCAAGACGCGCGGTTCCAGGATTCCGCGGGCATGGAGCCTGCAGTTTCCAGATTTCCTGCTATTGGTTCGAATTTTTCCGGCTGGTGGATGCGCCCTTTGAAGATTCTGGCGGACTGACTAGGAGGCCTTGCCCATTGGTTGTCATACCCTAGGCTACCATAGTTCCTTTTTTAAGTTAATATGGGCAGGGGGAGAGTTATATGGGTTATTAGGTGGGGGGTTAATATGGGCGTGTCGAGATGTGGGCACATGTGAGCATCGAGGCGAAGAACTCTTCCTGCCGCTGCCGAGCGGCGCGCATCTTCGCCTGCGGTTTTTTACTTTTTTGGGGGGTTCAGGGGCTTGGGATGAGAGTTGCTGAGTGGGGCTTCGCTCAAAAGCGAAGGCCAACAAACAAGAAGGTCACGGCAGCTGTTTGGGGCCAGGGTGGTATGGGTATGGGCATATAGCTTCGGATTGGGCCAGAGCTTGGGAGCATGAAAGCGTGAATGAGCTTGTGCTTTGGGACTTTAAGACCTTAGTGAGGCCTGCAACTCAGGCTGAAGCCCTAAACCCTCAACCCTAAACCCTAAACCCATGGTAGGGCCTGAAAAGGCGTACTGCGGAGAGCGGCCTGCGGGTGCTTCGGCATGGAAGTTTATCGGCCTGTCGGGAAGGGCACAGCGGCTTCCTCTCCGTAGAGAAGCCTTGTACAGGGCTTTCCTCAGGAACGCTGCAGGCAATCTGCCAGAAAACTTGCAGAAGGACTCATGTCCGACTTTTGGGACTCAGCTTTGTAGATCTGGGCGACGCTCGGGGATGCTTCCGTAGTCCAAAAGCATCACTTCAACGGGTGAGCACTGCACGCCACCCACGGCACCTTGCCGGCTCATGGTTGCCACGCGTGTGGGAAGCGAAGGCATGCAGAGGATGCTTTCAACCGCCCAGGAGGAGCGAGGCCCTCACACGCCCAGCCCCCCCAAGGCATTCCCAGAGCTGAACCCACTCATCCCAGAAGCTAAGCCCTAAACCCTCAAAAATCTCACAGTGAGTGGTTTAGGGTTTAGGGTTTAGGGTTTAGGGTTTAGGGTTTTGCACCTAAGAGTTTATTTCCATGCGAGGAAGTTGAGGCCTGCATTCAAGGACCGTAAGCTTTCAGCAATTTGGGGTGGGAGAATGGGCAAAACCAGGATGGGCTATTAGGCCCTATAACCCCCATAAACAGCCCTATAAAGACCCTTTTTTAAGGGTTATAGGGTCTAATAGCCCGTCCTGGAAGAACTCTCTAGTTAGGGACTTCCGAGAGAGGCGACTGTTGGACAGCATTTGCTTTCAGTTCTTGCCTCACTTGACTTGGCCTCGAGGCTTAGGATGCTGAAGTTGACTAGGTAGGGGGTCTACCACTTCTGTTGGGGTTTGTGGGGGTTTGGGTGAGTCACCTCTCACCCTGCTGAACGCTTCCCCAAGTCCCCCCCCCCCAGCCCCATACACTCGCGAGGGCGGTGCAGACTCACAAAATCTCCTCGAGGATAGGGCTCCACGCAACAATCCTAAGCCACTGTTTGCTTCCCATGGTCCATGAGGAAGATGCCAGCGAACGGCATTGGGATGTGTTGCCGACCGACTGCGCGTCCTGGTGAAGGTTTTCTCTGATTCGTTTCTGTGCTTTGCGCAACTATGGGGTTGCAGGATAGCTGCTTCGTTGCTAACCTCAGTACCTAAAGTTAAAGCCCTGTGCCCAAATATCCTGAAGCATGCGTCGGCAAGCTAAAGCCGCCGAGGTACGACGAAGAGAGCGTTTACAACACCATCTTGTGGTACTTGCTGTCAGGTGGATCGAGGGAACACGTCAACAAGGAAACATGTAAATCTTAGAGCCCCACAGATCAGCATACTGCCTGGCTTGCCATGATATTGCTTTGCACTGGGGACATTGCATGGGCTTCGAGCTCTTGCAGCTTTAGGGCTAAACGGTTGTCAGCTTTCAACCATTCGACCCGCGGTGGTTGTGACGAGAGGCGGACGTCACATCGACACTGCTGCCGTCTATGGCAACCACGCCCCTTGCTTGCTCCTGATGTTGTTTCAGGGTTTAGGGTTTAGGGTTTAGGGTTTATGTTTCTCCTTCCGATCCTTGACAATGTATTGCTTCCCACATCCTTGTCATCTCCGAAGCCTAAGCTAGCGCCAAAGCCCGAAGTTATACACATGTCCGCAGAACCCGCCCTGAACCCTAAACCCTAAACCCAACTAGGATGCCCAGTGGTGCCCTTATTCCCTTTTTGGGGGGATTAGGTTCCCTTATAAACCCCTTGAAGCCAAAAAGGGCACCCTTTTTAAGCCTTGGTTACTGGGCAGCCTAGTCAACCCGAAGCCGATGCTACAGTGGTAGCACCTTCAGGTCCCCATCGGCAAAGCGTTGAAGGAGGCTGCCAAGCGAGGACGGGGTGGGAGCTTCTCGGGGATCACGCGGCTCGTGCGACGTATGATGCGCTGATGTGAAGGAACCCTAAACCCTAAACCCTCAATCCCCCGCATTTCCTTAATGAGCTGACGCCTTGGGTGTCGAGCTCGATGCTTGAGATCTCTTGAGAGCTTTTGCATCCGGCATCTACCCATACTAGGGGCGTATGGTCTGCAAACGGAGCCGTGCCTAATGAGGCGTTTTGTGAATCAGCTAAGACAACAGTTAGCCTCCGACTAGGGTGAGTGTATACTTGTATGGGTATTGCCCAAAATCAGGGTTTTGCACCTTTTTCTACCCCAAATAGAAGAGAGGGACGTCCCAAAAAGGGTACCCCTATCTTCGGAACCCCCCCATGGTTGACCTGCGCGAGGAATTCCGCGAAGTGAGGTTTTCCTTGCCCTTCGGCACTTGCTCGGGACTTGTTTATTTGTCCAGTTGATTAGTGGTTGAGGTTGAGTCGGGCGTCTGGGCGCTTCAAACCCAAGATCCCAATCAAGCCTTGGAAACGAATGCTGACCTCAAAAGGGACAAGGGACAGTTCTTGGAACATGGAGTGAGTGTTCTTGTCAGCGTTGCTAGGCTGTCAGATAGCCCCAGCAATGCAGATCGCATTGCCAACCTCAGACAAAGGTTCTGAGCCTCAATCCGTGATCCTGTCTTCAAGTGCTTGGCCTTGGGAAAAGCATGGAACAGTGTAAATGTGTTGTGTGTGTGTGTTTGTTGGAATTCCCGGGATGGAAGCTACAAGCCCATCTTTAATGGACACATGTGACAGCATCTGGACCGGTGGGTTTAGGGTTAGGGTTTAGGGTTTCTACTATCATCATCTTCGCGATCTCGCGGTTGTCATGTTTGAGAGCGTCCCGTTGGAGTATGTAGCGCGTGTATGGCGTGTCAGCCAGCAGAGCTGATCAAGCTGTGCAAGCAGCTTCTTGTTTCTGGCACTCCCCACCCAGCCCAGATGTAAAAAAAGGCTTTAGGGTGTAGGGTTTAGGGATTAGGGTTTAGGGCTTAGGGTGGTGCTTGTTTCCCCCGCCCCCCCCCCCCCCTTCCCCGCTCCCCGCCTCCAGGTCACCAAAGTGTGGCCCGCTAACTATGGCTACGATGGTACTATGGCTGCCGCGGGCCGAATGCGAGGGCCCTGGCAAAGAAGCAACCTTCCGTAGGCTTAGCTGACCCTTGATGTCTCCTTTGGCTGCAATGTATTGAACAGTGGGGCTCAAGGTGTGGAGTTTTCCCTTGAAAGGCTGCCCAGGCAGATAGAGAGTCAAGTGTATAGCCATAGCCCATTTCGGTAGACAAGGGTAGCTGAAGCCCTAAGGGCCGAAACCTAATGCGGCCTGCATGCAAAGCTTACACCAAATCAGAACCACGTAAGCTACCCTCAGGCAAGCATCGGCAAAGGCCTACTGACATGCCCTAAACTTGAAAGCTGTACAGGTTCCAGGGCCAGGGTGTGCTTGTGTTGAGCTGAAGCAGTTTGAGCCAGTGTGAGGTTGAAGCAGCTCGACGTGGACTACATCGCCGCCCAATGAGGAAGTGGGCTACAGGGCAGGTTCGAATCCCAAGCTTGCTAGGCCGAAAAGGTTTGGGGGATTGCTGTGGGGGGTATTAGATTTGGGGGTTAACCTCGCTTGCCGACAGGTCCGATCACTTGCACCCTGCATGACCCAAGCGCCCTCAAACACGATCTTTGGAAGATAAGGGCCTTCAGATGAAAGAGTTGAAGTGCATGAGCCTGAAACGAAGCCCTAAACACTGCAAGCCAAGGACCTGGTTTTGCTGCATGCCCCGCGGATGATCAGTTGGAGGATGGTTGCCGCGTGGTGGGGCGGAATGAACTGGCTCATCGGCGACGCTCCTAGCCTGATTCGGGTCTTCTGAATTGTCGTGCTTCAGGATATGGGAAGGGAGGTAGGGACATGGGGCGCCAAGGTGCCCAAACCCCCTCATCATGCAGTGAATCCGGGTATAGAAGCCAGTTAGAAGCCCAAACAAAGGGGCCCTACTGAGCCATCAAGCCCTAACTCACGTAACCTGTGGTTCGGCCAGCTATGCGGCAACGAAAAAAACTCGCGCAACCCTCAACCCTAAACCCTAAATCCTAAAAAACCCTAAACCCCTAAACTTGATGCAGGGCGACGAGTTCTCCCACATGCCTTGCGAGGACCAGGCTATGGATCCAATGTCTAGTGGGCCCAATGCAGGCATCATTATGGAAGGGTTTAGGGTTTAGGGTTTAGGGTTTAGAGTTTAGGGGGGCCTGAAACAGAACTCTGAACCCAGCACATCCCATAAAAGCCCTAAAGCCCTAAAGGGTAGCTGGCTGATGGAAAGTTGAGGGTTGCAGGCTCAGAGATGTGGAGATTAGTTATCGAGTTGAGGGTTTAGCGAGTCAAGCAGTGCCACTGAAGCAGCGCGACGATTTTGGAGTGGGCTCTGCTTCTGGCATGGCCTGGGCTCCTTGATGCGCCCTCCCCTCCCCCCCCCAAAGTTAGGTGAACGCTGTAGCACGGATGTTTACGGCTTCAGAGGCTTTGGAGCTTTGATGTCCTACCCCCGAAGCTCTTTTGCGCTTCCTTGCGGAGGTGACCTGCCGCAAAGCTACGTGGAAAGCGCTTTCCGAGCTGCGGGAGCAAGGCAAGTGAAGGGTTTAGGGTTTAGGGTTTAGGGTTTAGGGTTTAGGGTTTAGGGTGAGCACTTTATTCGCCCGCTGGCTATAGGGGTTTGCAAAAGTTTGGGCATGGGCCTCCGAAGCCACTGCAAAGCTAGTCATCTCTGCGAGCTGAGACCCAGCAGCTTGCACCTGCGTCGTACGTGATGCGTCGGGGCCTTGTGCGCAGCTCCCCATGCCCCATCAAGCCCATACGGCCTCTGGGGCTACGGGAACTAGGCTTTTGCAAGTTGACCAGGCGGACAACAGGAGCGCCTTTCTGTGTAGCCGGTGGTTGACACAGTGCGTGGAAGTGGAAAGTGACCTTTCAGTATGTTGCAAGTACGACCCACAAGCTAGGCAGGACAGGACCCTGAACTGCTCCAGTTTAGGGTTTAGGGTTTAGGGTTTAGGGTTTAGGGTTTAGGGTTTAGGGGACATGCGCAACAGGCCTGATTCGCGATGTGGGCGTGAGCAACTTCCGCGTTCCGCAGATGAAGGAGCGGGGGCTTCGTTTTGAACAGCCGTGGATCTTGGTTGCGCCTCCTACAAAGGCGGAGGTTCTGAGGCAATGAGTCGTCCCGGCATGGCCTTGTCTGCTGCAACGCATCGACCCAAACAGTCCTTGCAGTGATGGCGGTGGGTGGCAATGCCGGAACATGTGGGTTCGCAAGCTGTTCTGATCCATGGCATAGATTGTCATTGCCAGCAACATATACAGGTATCTGCCGGAAGCAGCAAGGCTTTCTAAGACTTGCCTTCACATTCGAGCTCCACCACAAAGTACAGCCTTCCTACCTGGAAGGAGTGGGGCAAGTGGGGTGCCAAGTCTGAATGCCGCACTAATAGCTCGAGAGCACAGTGGCCTCCAAAAGCAGGGAGAGAATGACCAAGTGTGGTCTTTGCAGACCCCTCTCCAGGATGCGAGTGAACAATTCGTGCTATCTGTAACTTACCAGGACGGGCTATTAGGCCCTATATAACCCCTTAAAAAGGCCCCTTATGGGTTGATTATGGGGATTATAGGGCCTAATAGCCCATCCTGGTAACGCCAAACCAAAGCATCCAACACCCGAACAGCAAAGAGCGAGATTCTCAATTTGCTGCAACTTGCAAAGTAGCCTAGGTTCTTGTACCTTGACTACGATTGTGAATTCGTGGAGCCTCCTCGACAGTCGGACCATAGAATCCCCGCAACTCCATACACCCCAAATCTATATCCCCCTCGGGAAGTATTTTTTACATTTGCTTATATAAAAACCAAGAGGATATTAAAACATATGTTTTTGATTCAGGTTCTGAGGGGAGTATAGAAGAAAAAAACGTGGGTTGGGTCTTGAGTCCTGCACTGAGGGGCTGCGGGGACCGCATCCCCCCAAAACTCTGAAACCCTCAAAACTCTCCCAAAAACCCTAAACCCCAAGCCCTAAACCCTAAACCCTAAACCCTAAACCCTAAACCCTAAACCCTAAACCCTAAACCCTAAACCCTAAGCTGCCCCCAAAAAGAGCCCTCCAGGAACTCCAGGGCCTGGGCATGGCACCCATCGCGGCCAATCAGATCCAGTTCCATCCATGGATTCCCGATTTTCAGCAGGAGCCGTGTGCTAGGGTTTAGGGTTTAGGGTTTAGGGTTTCGGGTTTAGGGTTTAGGGTTTAGGGCTAGGGTTTAGGGACTGGGACTCAGAGTCGGCCCTTATCCGCCCCTTTTTGTTTTTGTTTGGGGCGGGGGGGGGGGGGGGCTTGTTTAGGTTCCCTTACAAGCCCCTTTAAACCAAGAAGGTCACTTTTTTTTATTCCTAGGTTGGTCTTAAGTCGAGGTGGTGGAGCCTTTGTCCTAGGATTATGGTTGGAGTTGGGGTGAAGGATTTGGAGGGCTTTTGTCCTGTTCAGGTGCAGGCGCAACGCCAAAGGTCATAAGCCACATGCATCATTTTTCCTTTGCTCCGTCATCGTGAGTACGTGTTATTCACGAGTTTGGGTTTGAAGACTGAAGATCGAATATTGCCAGGAAAGGTTTAGGAGAAATATTCAACCCCCAGTTCTCATTTGAATGACAACTTCAAAACACATCGAGCTTTGTGTTCAACATTCTGAGTTTGAGTTTGAAGATTGAAGCTCCTCTTAGTCCTGGGAACCTTCACTCTCCCTTCCAAGGATTGAATGCATACTTGAACGAATGTTGGAACTTGTATCCAACATCCATCTTGAACCAAAAAAACATCATGAGCCGATTAACCCTAAACCCTAAACCCTAAACCCTAAACCCTTTGGTCCAAGATTCAAGATGTGGCTTGCATCGCTTGCGCTGGGGCTGCAAGCCAAAGTCCAAAGTCCCGAATATCAACGAACCCAAAGTAACGTACATACATAGATACATACCCATATATATTATAATATATATATATATACATACACAAGAATATACACAAATATGCATATATATATATACATATCCATGTACGTGTATGTGTATGTCACTGCCTATAGCGGCAAGGGACATTGCGTGCCCTTCACCTGCAGGAGATCGTGGACTTCTGCAACGCCAATCGGATTGTCATCACCGCGTACTTCTCATTGGGTGGTCTTCAGTCCAAGGACAAGACGCTTCAGGCAGATCTCTTGCTGTTTGCGACAGTGCTTGCAGATTCCGAGGGCAAAGCCCCAAAGTTAGGGCACCGGGCATGGAAGCCCTCAACCCTAAACCCTAAACCCTAAACCCTAAACCCTAAACCCTAGCCCTAAACCCTAAATCCTAAACCGTAAACTCCGAGGGGTCCGTGCCTTTCATGTGGAGCAAAGCCTGCCATCCTTAAACTTTTCACAGCCCTCGGCGATTCCAGCCGAAACCCGAGGCAAGAAACAGGGGTTTAGGGTTTAGGGTGCAGGGTTTAGGGTTTAGGGTTTAGGGTTTATATAGGGTTCAGGGTTTAGGGTTTATGTAGGGTTTAGGGTGTAGGGTTCAATTTAGTTCACCAGGGTTTAGGGTTTAGTGTTCAGTTTATTTCACCAGAGTTTAGGGTTTAGGGTTCAATTAAGTTCACATCAGGGTGCGTCCAGATTCTCTTCTGACTGAGCCTTCACTCCAAATCCCAGCTCGACGACATCAAAGCGATCGGCAAGAAGCATTCCCGATCTTCGGGGCAGGTGCGAGTTCTGCGTGACAGAGTTTCCCAGAATTTTAGACGATGTAGTGGTTTCAGGGCTTTAAACCCTAAACCCTAAACCCTTAACTTTGATGTGGAAGTATGGGCTTCGGTTTTCGAATCAGCCATGTGTCTGACTGAGAGTTCCCTTCTGCATGCGTCCTTCAAGAAGTCACTGCATGAAAAAGCTTGACTGCAATTGTATAGCAATATTCTTTCTGGGTGATGCCAGGGCCAAACCCTAAACCCCAAGCCCTAAACCCTAAACCCTAAACCTTAAACCCATACAACAAGTTTCCAAGCCTTCGAAGCCGCATGCTCGAGCCAGGTCTTGCTGCGCTGGGCTTTGGCAAAGAGACTTGGCCGCTGTCGCCATTTTTGCGAAGGTTCAGGGTTCAGGGTTCAGGGTTCAGGGTTCAGGGTTCAGGGTTCAGGGTTCAGGGTTTAGGGTTTAGGGTTTAGGGTTTTGCGAAACATTTGGTAGCTGGTATGCGGCAAACCCTGAGTACGAAGCCAAAAGACCATAACAGAGATTGGGCCAAGCCTAGCAATTCAATTCTGCGTCCTGTCAGGCAGTACTCGGCTAGCACTGCCAGCTCCAAGACAACCTACCATGGAATTTGGGGTGTAACCCTAAGGCTCCAAATAGCCCGAAGGAGGCATTATTTATAGACTTTAGACCCCAACGTAGGTATTATTTGTATACTTGGAGCCCTAGGGTAAGGGTTTCCGACCGCGCGGCGCGTTATGTCTCATAGCGACGTGCAGCTCCGCGGAGCTTCTTGTTAGGCTTGCGAGGAACGCGGGGCCGTGAATCTTGTGCTGCTGTTCGCGTGAAACATTCTGGGTTCAGGCTTTGGGCTCAACCCATTCAGGTTTTTCGCCTAGTTTTTCCAGGCTCTTCATCACCCCTTAGCTTCCGCAAAGGGCTTAGCAATTTGCAGGCTTGTGTCGAGATGGCCCCCGTAAACCTAAGCAAAAACAACCTCTTACAATGCCTCAAGCCCTGGGAAACATAAGGCAACCAATCCCCCAAAAAGAGATGACCAGCTCAGGAATGTGAGCATCATCCCAGGGACTGGCAATCCCAAACACATGAAGGAGAACCTGGCTTTAGGGGTTTTAGGGGGCTTTAGGGTTTTAGGGTTTAGGGTTTAGGGTTTTAGGGTTTAAGTTTAGGGGTTTAGGGGTTTAGGGTTTAAGGGTTTAGGGCGATAGTTCCCGATGCTTGGCTTTCGCGCACGAGTCGCCTCCTCGCTTAAGGCGTTGAGTAGTCAGTATTGGTTACCTGGCAGAGTCACAGCAGGCCAGATGCAAAAAGGGCTTAGGGTTTAACTGACTGCGGGCTGCTGGGCTCACAGATTTCATTGAGGCGGGCGAAGTCCCTTGGAGAAGGGTTTAGGGGCGGACTCCAATTTTCCAGAATGCCGACAGCGGTTTCAAGTGATGAAGGAACGCTTGAGGCCTCAGAGTTTCAGGAGTTTTGGGGGAGTTTCGGGCTTCCTTAAGAACGAAAAGCCTACCTCTTTTGTAGTTTATTGTGATAAAGCCCCTTCTAGGATTCTTGGTTAACCTACAAAAAAGTAGGTTTTGGGTTCTTAAACCCCAAGCCCTCAACCCTAATTGCGGCTTCAGGGCCTCATGCCGTGAAGAAAACTTGCCGATCATGCCACCGCTCTTTGCAGTGGCTTCGGACTTCAGAGCAGAGGTTTAGGGTTTAGGCTTTGGGGTTTAGGGTTTAGGGTTTAGGGTTTAGGGTTTAGGGTTTAGGGTTTAGGGTTTAGGGTTTAGGGCATCTCCACAGACAAAGAGCATTCTGCGACGGCTGGGTGCTTTTCTGCAAGAGTCGCCGCTAGGAGAACCTGGGCATCTACGACTTCTCCCTCTCCCCAGACGAGGCAGCTTCGGACGTCTTAGCGCTTGGCGCTTGGTATTTTTAGGGTTTAGGGTTTAGGGTTTAGGGTTTAGGACCAACGAGGTTCTGGCTCTGCAACAGCCGGGCGGTGACAGAAAGCCCGTTGCAAACAGATTTTAGGGACGTCTTAGCGCTTGGTATTTGATTTTAGGCTGTCCAGGGTCCGCATGCCGACAGCGTCGAGTCTTTGAGAGTGCAGGCTCAAGATGTAGATACATTAGGTACGCTGAGCTGGCAGAAAGCTGCGTTTACCTCATATCATGGGTTCCCCTACTACCCCCCCCTTTATACTACCCCCCCCCCCCCCCTAGGTTCCCCCCATAAATAGCCAAACCCTAAACCCTAAACCCTAAACCCTAAACCCTAAACCCTAAACCCCCAATTAGGCTGAGCAGACCCTGCAATAGAAGCACTCCGAAGTTGTTCAGGGAACCAGGGCTTGACATCCAGCTGCGGCTCTTCTTTCAGATCTTCCAAAACCCCTTAATTAAGGTATTTACCTTAATTCCTAATAGGGATCCTTAGTATAAATTAGGGTATATTCCTTAATTAAGGTATTTACCTTAATTCCTAATAAGGATCCTTAGTATAAATTAGGGTATATTCCTTAATTAAGGGGTTTTGGAAGACGTCTTGGCACACACTTCTAAGACTAGGTAGGCCATTGGGATATGTTTATATTTTCCCTTATTGGGTTAAACAGGATCATATTCAGGATTTTTCAGAGGGTTTTAAGGGCCATCCTAAAAGAGCTCCTCAAAACCCTGCGAGGTTTCTCGCATTGATGCCCTGCGCAGCCACCCCATCGCGGATGACTTCTTCTTCATGCAGTTCTGAGCTGGCTATAGGTCTATACGCTCGAACATTGCAGAGGACAGCCAGCTACAGCTGGGGGCCCAAAACCCTCGGCAGTGTCAAGTGGCATCAAGTGGCCATGTGACGCAGCTGGCGAAATTCACAGGGCCTACCGACTTTATACCCATCAGATTCGGCTTACGGCATTGCGGTAGGCCTTTGAACTATCTTTCAGATCTAGTCTTACGTATTTTGTCGAGGTATGCCCTTTGAATACTGTATGTTGTCTGACCAGTTTGGGTGTTTTGAGAGCTGCTGGCTGTACTTTATTTTCCTTACATTCCCCGGCGTCTGCAGCTTCAGCCCAACTGGTTCTGAAGCACGCTTGCTGCGCATGCCTGGCGGGTGAGTGCGTTTAATATAGGGGTCGGAATAGCTGCTAATTTCATAGTATTTCCCTGATGATCCCTTTATGATTATACTACAAAAGCCCCCAAACCCTATTCTAATTATTCAGGCCCCTATTTTATGTAGGTCATGTGTTTCCTTTGTGTGTGTGTGTGTGTGTGTATATGCTACTTTTATCAGGGGTGGAGTTGGTCAGACTTTGCGAAAGGTGCTTCGGGTCAGGCACACCCTACATACATGCCAGCAGCATTAGGCAACGGTCCTCCACCAAGCTTTCAATTACAGAATGTGTGGGAAGAGGCCAGGCCAACGGATGAGCCCAAAAGAACCCCGTGCAGACTGCCTTGGACTACGGTGTGACATTGTTCAAAGCTCTCCTGTGCACCGTCGTTTCAGGCTGCAGGTCTAGACTAAGCTGGAATGAAGCGTAGGGCGCCGCGCTTATGCCCATATGACATATGGGAAGTCGAGGTAGTAGGCTGAGGCATACCAGAAACCGTTGAATCACTGAATCGCCCATTCAGCCAACATCCCCAGGTCAAGAGACACATTCCTGAAAGGTGGTTCAGAGCCAGTGCCGAATCAAGACAGAATCCCCAGCCCCTAACATCCAAAACCTGATTTAGCCGAACCATCTAGAAACCCAGAACCAGTGCCAAATTACACAAATGACGCGGGTTTCGGACTAAACCCTAAACCCTAAACCCTAAACCCTAAACCCTAAACCCTAAACCCTAAACCCTAAACCCTAAACCCTAAACCGACAGGGTTCATATAGGGTTCCCGAAGGTGCCTGCCTGTTGGGATGCCCCTCGCTTGCGGTGCTGCGCCCCGCCCTGGAAGAAGAGCTTGTGCAGTTTTTCTTAGTAGTAGAGTAGGTAACCTTTAACCTTTTTGGGTTCATATATTCCCCTTATAATCCCAAAGGTTAACCTTTAAAACCCCTAGGTACTGGACAACTAAGTTTTCGGGGTAGAACCCAGATCTTCCAAAACCCCCTAATTAAGGAATATTACCCTAATTTATACTAAGGATCCTTATTTTGAATTAGAGTATATACCTTAATTAAGGGGTTTTGGAAGGTCTGGGAAGGTGTAGGGGTAGGGGCTTTATCACGTCCTGGCGGAAAACAGGGGCGTTTTAGCTTAGTAGGGTGTTCAAAGAGTTGTTGTCGCAATTCTTCTTCTTGGGGTTTGTAGAAATGATCCAAAGAATCAGGCACTTGCCTTTGAGCTTTGGCGACTTTAAGTCCTTTTTTTTGTTTTTGTTGTGTGCCTGTCTGTCTGTCGGTCTGTCTGTCTGGCTGTCTGGCTGTCTGTCTGCCTGTGTTTGTGTGTTTTTGTGTGTGTGTGTGTGTGTTTTTTCGTGTGTTTTTGTGTGTTTGTTTGTTTGTTTGCTTGCTTGTTTGTTTGTGTGTTTGTCTGTCTATTTGTTTGTGTGCTTATGTGCTTGTGTGCATGTGTGCTTGCGTGCTGGTGTGCCTGTGTGTTTGTGTGTTCGTGTGTTTGCCTGTTTGTTTGTCTGTTGGTCTGTGTGCGTGTGTGTGTGAGTTTGTCTCTGTGTCTGCGTCTGTGTCTGTGTGTCTGTAAACGGATCAAGATGGTTTCTCAGTGCAAGACTTCGCGGAACAGGCGGGCGTTTGAGTGCGAAGCAAAGCCTTATAACGATTGGTGGTTGTTGAAAGTTCGTGCCACGCGGCTCATAGCAGAAAGACATCGCACAGCGAACGGCACCTTGCAGCGCGACTGTCAGGCAGAATGGCAGGAGTGTGTGTGAGTGTGTGTGAGTGTGTGTGCGTGGCAGTCATCTCCTAGCAAGCGCAACCATGCAGTCACATGAAGTGCAAGCAGGGCTTTGCCGGCTCCGAAGGTATGCTTGTGACCCACTCAACTAAGTTTTTCTTGGGAAATTCGGTGCAGCAGCAAAGGTTTTGTAAATCAGCCTAGTGTATTCGGCGACATGCAACGAGCCGCAGATCCATCATGAAGGCATGAGGCTTGCACAACATGTTGCGGGAAATGACACATATCGGAGACCAGGACGGGCTATTCTACCCTAAAAACCCCTTAACAAGGCCCCATATAGGGTTGATTATGGGGGATGTATAGGGCCGAAAGCCCATCCTGGGATGTCATGTTGCTCCAGCTCGCCGCACATCGCAAGCGAAGCGTGTGTGTCAGCTTTGCGGGCCCTGTCGCAAATCGCGCGAACAGCTGGAACCTGTGGGGAGGGTTCAGCTCGATTAGAGAAGCGTTGGGAGTGTCTGAAGTTTTAGGTCAAGGGAACCTGGGCAACTGAGGAACTGCACTGAGCGTCTACTTTCCGGAAGTGCTGCTTGGCCTGTGGGGGAGATGCGGAGGCATCAGTAGTAGCACCTTTGAAACAGCCAAGCTCCGTCTGAGTGCTCATCGAAAGCGGTCATCTCGTGTCTGCGAACTGGCCGGGCATCGGCTGGTTCCAGGGTTTTCGCACGCCAGTAGGTTGCAAGCGTTGTATCCCGACTCAGAGAGCTGGACTTTCGAACAAGCTTCAGATGACAGTTAGGCCTTCAACTGGGTATTGCTTTGGGATAATTTTAAATTTCCCTTCTTTCCCGTGTAAGGGAACCTATTCATAAATAATTTTCAAAGGGCTTTGAAGCAACACCCAGTCAACCATGTCATCCCCGGGCAACACAGGGCCGCATACGTACTCGTTCTTAAGTTCGGCTCATCGGCTCCCAGTGACTTCCTGTGTACACTTTAAAAGGTAAAGTTCCCGACTCAAAACTTCGGGCATCAGGCTTCTCAAAGCTTTCTATGGTGCAGGCCTCGAACTGGCATATTCTCTGCGCTCTCGAACCTTACATCTTCATATAGCCCTAAACTCTAAACCCTAAACCCGACACCCTAAACCCTAAACGCTAAACCCTAAACCTAAGCCCTAAACCCAGCCCTCCCAGGCAGACATGAGCAGCGAGGATGCACAGGCCCTTGCGACGAAGCCGCTGGGCCAAGTGGCCGCCTCGCATCTCGTGGAGGCCTACCTCCTTCAAACGGTGGTTTAGGGTTTAGGGCTTGGGGTTTAGGGTTTAGGGTTTAGGGTTTAGGTTTATTTTCGGGCTTCAGGGTTGTGAGAGTCCGGCTGCGAGGGTTGGGGTCTTGACTGAGGACCTTGCATTGACAATTGTTGGGTGCTGAGAGCCCTGCTCGTTTGATTCTTCTGTCGTCTAGCAGCCAGCATACTTGAGGTTTTTCCCCTGCAGCCAGAGCCTACCAGCTGCACATGGACATCCTGGGTAGTGCAACTGTTGCAGCTCAGCATGCAGGGTATCCACTCCTGTGCTTGTCAGCATGCAAGAGCCCTTGTGCCAGACGCCGCCGACAAGCCTCTTGCCAGAGCCGCCCGGACCAATTGGTGCGGGCAACCGGCATCCCTTTTTGGCCAATTCACATATGAAATCAATATTCAGCAAATTCAACGTTCAGAGTACCTTCCATCATCATTGCATAGTGTTCGCGCTTGTGCAGCATCTTTCGAAAGAGCTGTCAAAAGGTATCAGTCATCGGGATTTAGGCTTTGTTGGCAGACCCTAGCGTAGGACAAAAGAAGGCTCCCAAGCCATATCGTGTATTCTTAGTTGTTCAAGAGCAGCCACCGGGAGAATCGAGATTCAAAGCTGGTTGACACACGAGTGTCCCAGCAGCTACGCAAGGAGAGGGGAGGGGGTAAATTCGAACAAAAGTTGGGTCTTTGGACTCGGGTTGTCACGCTCTGAGTTTGCATGCTGCCGTTGCTCGTTAATCTTATCCTCATCAAACAGATCGACATGGTCTAAGCATACTATACATGCGTACATGCATAGGTCCTTTGCATACCTGACATCTATATATATGTATATTTATATTTATTATCACATATATGCCTGGGTTTCAATCTATATACAGACCTTTCCCCAGCCTTTGCATGAGCAGGGAGATGCCCTTCGACCTCTCCATGCACCCGACGGCCAAGCATCGGGTGGCGGACTCCTCAGAGCTGGACATATGGACTTGCTGGTTCTTACTAGGGAATGAGGGAAGGAGGTACCCGTCTATCCCCCTCTACGTACCCCTTGGGGGATTATGTAGGGTACCTCATCCATTCCCTACCCAGAACCACTGGGTTGAACGATGGCACGTCTTAAACTCGGGCACCCGAACAATCCAGACACTACCTTTTCGAACTTCAGATCTGAGTTTTCTACCCTTGCAAGGGCTGGTCCGTGCTTGTTAGGCTTGGGTTTCGGCTAGGGTGAGATATGGTGAAAGGCTTCACGCAAGTATCGGTATCGGCATGACTTTTGAGCATTGACCGGCTTTGGTTGGTGACAGCGAAACTACATGTGCGCCGGATGCTAGTTGGGCTTCTTTGTGTGAGTCCCAATGCTTCAAATTCCACTTGTGGTTGCGGTGTCTTCCTGGCTAGTTGATGACAGGGCTGTGTGATGTGGAGGGCTTTGTGTCATGTAGCGCTCATCAGGGGCAGAATATGTGACACCCAAGCCCTCAACCCTTTATTTTGGGAGTTGGAGACTGGGATGATTACGGGTGTTAGGTTTGACGTTCAGGGCGAATTCCGCAAAGATGCGACTGCTGCACCCTTCTAGGCTGTGAGCATGCTCAGCCGACTGGACAGAGAGGCCCGTGCACCTGGTATCCAGGAAGGGAAAGCAGATGCACACATAGTGATAGTACCAGTGAGAACATGTGGTCCAAGTTGCGCTCATTGTTTCTAACCGGACATTTGATGGCTTGCCTTGGGGCTGTTGAATTCCTGACATTCTGGCGCAGTGAGGTCAGGTGAATGGTAGGTGCCTGCTAGAGTGCATAAATTGGATGCCGACACACCCCCTCCCCTCCCGCCCTCCCACCACTCCAAGCACTTCATTTTTTTGCATTTTGTCAATGTTGTCTATGCACAATCCTACACGTCTAAAATGGCGGCAGAGGTCACCAAACAGGCTTGAGCTTGACGTAGACAGTCAGCCCTCGACTCCTCACCTCCTCCCCCCCCCCCCGCCCCCCATCCTCTCCCGCGTTATTCGGCTTCCATCCACCATGGGAAGCACAGCCCACTCATAGCTGGAGCCAATTAGGAGCCTACAAGATCTTTTGACTTATGAAGCATCAAAGGAAAGAAGCGGCTGCTACCCGAACAGGTCAAGTTGTGCGCGCGCATGCGCAACGCACGGCAGAAGCCGTCACTGGTGATGCTTCAGTCGGAGCATGTCCAGGCTCGATGGGTCAGGGCTTGCTTCAGTGTTGCATGTGCGTGTTGCGCATTATGGTCGCAGAAGGGATCGGGATGGCTCCGTTCATCTTCAGCGCTTGCAAGCGTAGTCTCCCTGGTACTGCAAGTGTTGGGGAGCCGGTGCATGGCTCAGCATAGCGGGCAGCCCGGGAAGCGTTGATGTGCCATCCTGCATTTGGGCTGCGTGATGACTTAAGCCTTGGCCCAGGCCCTAGCACACGAGCCACCATTTGCTAGCTCGGAGAAGATGTGAGTGTGAGCCGTAACAATGCTAGGTTCTGCACTGAAGAATTGACTATATATGACAGGCTGGAATGGTCAGCTCCTGTTTAGGATTCTGGTCGCAATCCGAGTAGACTTGACTGCAGTCGAGCTGCAAACCTTTGGACTTGTAAGCCGCCTGACAGCTGAGCCTTATAAATCTTAGCGCTTCGGATTGAAGACTTGTTTCTGCATTTCGTCGCTGCGGATCACAGTTCAACGTGTAAACGCTTTCATGTCCTTGCCGCTTTCGCGCTTGAGTGCGGCTTGTCTCTTAAACAAAAGCCTACACTGGTAGCTTTTTTACAAGCCGCCAACCTAACCAGTCTGGTCTTGTCTGGAGTCTGTGGGTGCCTACAGTAGGCTTCGCAGGAATTGCTTGACCTTCGATCACGCAGGCAATCGCCAACGGCGATGCTGCAGCGTTGACGAAGGCGAAGATCCACGTTCCGCGCTTGGGGAAACCCTAAACCCCAAACCCCAAACCCTAAACCCTAAACCCTAAACCCTAAACCCTAAACCCCATTGTGGGGTCAAGGAGGGTTCAGGGCTCAGATGCCGATCCGTCTGGGTAGGTTGTTGGGGTCTCGGCACAGCAGGGCAGGCCAAGGTGTACTTTGCGATTCAGGGTTCAGCGGCAGTGTGCTTTCCACCACATTGCATCACGGAAGAGAAGCTGCGGGCCCCATGATCCATCTGGAGCAACAATTTCTAAATCTGAAGCCCTAAACCTTAAACCTCAAACCCTAAGCCCTAAACCCTAAACGAGCAAATGCCTCGAAACTCCTTCTGCAAACAGGCCCGTGCCCAGATCGACCAGCTGCGGCAAGAGCTTCTCCAACTGAAAGCGAAGGACGAGGAGTTTGTGGCACCTTTGGCTACAACATGGTCACATGGTCAGAGGGTTTGGGGTTTAGGGTTTAGGATTTAGGGCTCATGGTCAGAGGGTTTGGGGTTTGGGGTTTGGGGTTTGGGGCTTTGAGGATGTCATGCTGGAGTCCAGGGCCATCATCTCGAACTCAGCTCGTCATGGCCCAGACTGCTCACGTCTTTCCTAGCTATGCTGTGCTGGCGAGACCTTGCAGTAAGCATCCGGATAGATCCTCAGGGAGAGAGAGAGAGAGAGAGAGCGCGAGAGAGCGAGAGAGCGAGAGTGAGAGGGCGCCGAGAGAGACAGAGAGCTAGAGATTCAGAGCTAGAGCGAGCGAGCGAGAGAGACAGAGAGAGAGAGAGAGAGCTCATATCTCCGGGCAACTCAGAGGGCCCCGAATACCGGGGCTGGTGCGAAGCCAGGGGGCTTGCCCCCAAGCCCCCAAGAAAGAGAGAGAGGGAGAGAGAGAGAGAGAGCGAGCGAGAGAGAGGAAGCGAAAAGGTTGAAGTTTAGGGGGAACTTGCATTGCAAGCGAAGAAGTCTTCGTCTCCAGCCCACGACGGTCAGTCTCGCACGGACTCTGAGCAACCCGGGCGTGCCTAGCGTGCGGAGGGCGCTTGCACCCTTCAAGCTCTGCAGAAGAAGAATAAAAAAGAAGAAGAAGAAGAAGAAGCAGAGAACCATGAAGAAGAAGAGGAGAGAGAGAGGGAGAAAGAGAGGACGGTGAGCTGAGTGAAGAACGGTCATCTGTCTGACCCAAGCCTGCATCTGAAGGGAGGAAGGGAGGCAGGGAGGAAGGGAGGAAGGGGATCGAGATACAGCAATCCCTTCGCAGCACGAAGCCACATTCAAGTCCAACCTCTTAAGCCCTGCCAAAAGCCTATGGGCCGAAAGCCCATGGGCCGAAAGCCGAAAGCTTCCCTGGAACGACCATTACTAAATCCGGACAACACCAAAGATCCCGAAGCACCCCTAAACCCTATAAACCCTAAACCCTGAACCCTAAACCCTAAACCCTAAACCCTAAACCCTAAACCCTAAGCAGCTTCTTGAGGCGATGGCCATCAGCAAATCCTTCGGGGATGCCAACGACATCGACCTCACCTCCACGAATGGCGCACCCCTGAGGGACCGACTTCGCTTCTGGCTTCTGCGAGCCTTGGTAGGGTTTAGGGTTTAGGGTTTAGGGTTTAGGGTTTAGGGTTGAGAATTTGGGCTGTGGAGGTTTCGTTGTTTACAGCTACTTGCTTAAGAACCCCAAAAGAATGGAAACTAGCAATCTAAAACATTACCCTTAATAAGGAAGAATATTTCTATTTTTCGGGGTTCTTAAGCAATTAGTAGTTTAGGGTTTGGGGCTTCGGGGTTTTGGCGCCTTGTTGCTCTTAGATGTGCGGGGCTCGGGGCCAGAGTTGTCGTCTGAAACAACTTTGTGTTGATGGCCCCGCTTTCTTTGGCACCCAGCTTCTTTACAAGTCCTGCGCAACCCCCCGGTGGAACATTGGAACATCCCCGCGCCCCCCTCCTCCCCCAAGACGTCTACTCCGTTCTCTTCCCGTCTCTTTTTAGGCCTCTTCTTTGTCCCCCGGTCCTCGAATCATTCTGTTTGCACGTGGGGAAATGCCACCCCGCACTGTTTTCAAACTTGTAATGTTGAGCCGGGCGTATTTGCACTTGCCTCTGTTTTGTTCAAGCTGCGCTCTGACAGTCACAAAAGGACTCAGGGTGTTTGTTACAAAGTCTTCCCCGTGGCTTCAACGAAGCCACCACAATTAGCAAAAACTCAATCTGAGATTCTAAATGACTTCCTGTAGACCCTCAGTGGATCCTTCTGGCAGAGCAGATGTCCAACAAGGCTTCTTAGTGTTCGGCGGCGTCTTCAATACATCATCAAGAACCCCCCCCCCCCCCCCCCCCCCCCCGCCCCGCGGAAAAAGAAACCTAAACCCTAAACCCTAAACCCTAAACCCTAAACGAGCGCTGGATGTCGAACTCATGGACTCCTGAACTCCCAAACACACCGCGCCCATCTGCAGGCTATGCGGATCTGGAGGCCACACTTTGGTTCGAGCACCTCTGCTGTGGACTTCTGCGCCTCGGCCCCTGTTGGTGGATCTTGGGTGCGCGCATACGGTTTAGGGGTCCTTTGAGGCTGGGATATTATGGGGGGTTACGGCAATAAGGCACCCCTAACATAGACCCCCTAAGAGTAGGATTCCCTTACAAAAAGGACCCCAAGAAGGTACCCCTAGTTTCGGAAACACCCATATGGTCAGGCTGGGCGGATCTTGCACCAGGAAGATAAGGTTTTGTGAGGTTGCGGCACTTGGGATGCGTGAGTTGAATGCTGGCACTGATGGAAGCAGGGGAGACGTGTATCCAAAAGTCTAAGCCCTTAACCCTAAACCCTATCCATGTTCATGCCCGGTCTTACCAGCTTTGGCTTCTTTCTTTCTTTCCGACGCCATGGACACAATAAGGGGATTTTAAAAGGGAACCCCCAACTGGGAACCCCCAAGAATATAGTAGGAATTTACGAGGAACATACCTACCAGGGTCCTTGTATGTTCCTACTGCACTCTTGGGGGTTCCCTGTTGGGGCTCCCAGTAAGATTCTTTTAAACAATGTCGGGTAACCGAGAAAAATGTCTGCACATCATTGCTCAGTGTCTGCGCAAAAAGAGTTGGCACAAGGGTCCCCGGTTTAGGGTTTAGGGTCCCATGGGGTCTCTCCAAGAAACATCTGGCCGAACCGAGTGCTTGGGTTGTGTGCACATCTTCAAGAAAGCTTGATCGCCCAAAACTCCCCTGAAGCTCAGCCAGTCCTGTCCTAACCCTAAGCCTGGAGTCAGCCGACGGAATCCTTGCCTGCGTGTGCGAGCGCGAAAGTCGAAAGCCGTAGCGAATGGCGCCTTACCACGCGGTGAAAGCACATGTTTGAACCTTGTGTTCTCGTAATCTTCTTGGTAGTCCAGTGGTGCCCTTTTTCCTTCTTGGGTTTCAAGGTTCCCTTATTCAGGAACCACCCCCCAGAAGGGTACCCTTACCCTTATTATCATTATGATTATTATTATCATTATTATTATCATTATCATTATTATTACCATTATTATTGTCATTATTATTTATCATTTTTATTGTTCGTATTATTATTATTGTTTATTATCATTATTTATTACTTTTATTATTATTTATTACTACTATTATCATTCTTCTTCTTCTTCTTGTTATTATTATATATATATATATATGTAAAGTTCCTGGGCGACCAAGTCTTTCACCCTCGCCCTCACTTCGCCCGTCACGGCTCGCTCAGGAGCCCCAGCGCGGAGGATGATTTCGAGCAGCTGAACCCTTTCCTGGACCGGGCCAAAGCCGCAGGCCGACCGGGTTTGGGGTCTTAGGGTTTAGGGTCTAGGGTTTAGGGTCTTAGGGTTTAGGGTTTAGGGTTTAGGGTTTAGGGTTTAGGGTTTAGGGTTTAGGGTTTAGGGTTAGGGTTTGCGCTTGAGAGAGCCCTGGCGCAATAAGGGTTAGGGTTTGCTTCTAAACCAGGGTTTACTCCACCAGTGACCTCTGCACAAAATCCATCAGTGAACTCCGTGCATGTGGCTGGTATTTTCTTAAGGGGTAATGTTGTTCTTTACTGGCGAGGGCAGTGAGGGCATGAATTGAGATTGCAGCGATTGCCGCAGAAAGCCCCTTCACCATCCACATGCCAAGCCCTACAACAGCCCTGGCTAAGGATCCAGCAGCGTTTGGTTGTCACCCTAGCACATCCCCAACATAGATGGATGTCAGCGGAGAACCTTAGTAAGAAACGGCTTGCTACTGTCGCAGTTTGAGCGCACTATGAAATAGATGCGGCTGCGCACTCTGCAGAGCTGGTCCAGGGTGACAAGTTCCAGTCATTTCAACTCTCTAGTCCCCTGACCCGCAGAAGCCTAGTGCAAGGGTCGCAATGCTTCCGAAACCGACCAGCTGTGCATAAAAAGGCGGCCTGGTGCTGTTCATAAACAGCAGAATGATGCCCACCCCACACGCCCTGCAGTGTCATATCTTCGGGGTCAGGTCTTCTCAGCCGGCTGACCCAGATGATGCTGGTGGCCGGGCGTGTGATTCAGCTCTTGGCCTGCATTTGCGCTGTGATTTTTTGTTTTTTGGGCGTAAGGGGCGTAAGGCTTGTGAAGTGTGTGTGAGGACCTGGTGCTTTTGGTGTAAGGTCTGTTCAAGGGCTTACACAAAGTGCATTGTGCGGAGCTTTGGGCTAAATTTGGCACAAGCATGCAGCGAAGTCGCAAGCATTTACGGTAACGGTGGGGCTTCCTCCGCTTGGACGTTGCGTTGACAGCTTTGCAAGGCTGGTTAGCAGATGCAGCAGAAGCCTGAGAAACAGTGTGTGCACGATAAAGGAACTGCTGAACGAGACTTGAGGAGAATTGCCGTTCCTCTCAATTGCTTGTGTTTATGAAGGCTCCTAAACTAAACCGCGGCCAAAACTCGTGCCGATCCGAGAAGATCCTTATGCGAAAGTTGCCCAGGACCTGCCGCGCTTTGGACAGCTGCCACGCTTCTTGACTACAGCCACGTACACTAGTCGTCGCCTTGTGCCCGAAACCCACAACCGAAACCCCCAAATAACCAAGCCCAGAAACATTAGACCTCCAAAGTTCGCACCGGATTCGGTCGGAACCCCGACCAAACCTTTCGCCCCACTGTATGGACAAGGCCTTGAAGCCGCTGGGGTAGATTCCTGAAGTGCCTGCCAGACTGGCATAGGACCTGGCGCAGCTTCTTGCAAATCCGGAGTCCGCTGGGTCCGCAGTGGCCCTTGCAGCTGGTCTTGGGGAGAAGGCGCTGCTGCTGTTGGCTTGTTTGTTTGGGGAGGTGTGTGGGGGTGTAGGGTTTAAGGTTTAGGGTTTAGGGTTTAGGGTTTAGGGTTTATAGGGTTTATAGGGTTTAGGGTTTATAGGGTTTAGGGTTTAGGGGTGCCTCTTAGTTGGGTTCTGGGGAAGGTTGGGCTGGGCCTGGGATGTGGGCTCTATTTCCTACAGGCAAACGTTCTCTGCGGCCTCCTGGCGTCCAAGCGCACCTACATCGAGAAGAAGGAGGGTGGCACAGGCCCAGTGGCAATGGGGTTTAGGGTTTAGGGTTTAGGGTTTAGGGTTCATGCCCGCGAGTTGGGCAAATGATGGTTTTCGGAACTCATGCTGCTTCTCACAGCTCATCGCCATTTGGAATGTTAAGAATGCAACCATTTTAGGCCAAAGGTTTTCGGATGTTCAGTGCCGGCGAGAGCATTTTGTGCATGGCATCGCATATTTCGACAGGTGTCATTATTGCAGTCGCGCTGAAATCGGCCTACTCCTTAAAAGAATGTGCACTTGGGGCCAGAGCCCGACAGTGTGGGGCAGTGCTCAAGATGGAGCCCCAAACCCTAAACCCTAAACCCTAAACCCTAAACCCTAAACCCTAAACCCTAAACCCTAAACCCTAAACCCTAAACCCTAAACCCTAAACCCTAAACCCTAAACCCTAAACCCTAACGAGCTGGCCCAAAGAGCTGTAGAATCAGCACCTTTCAGCCTCCCGGCTGGGCCACGTTCTGTCGCGACCAAGTATTCTGGCAGGCGCTTCAATATGGTGAGTTCTCTGAATTGGGGCACCCCTTTAGGTGCCCAAAAAAGGGGGGGAGGGGTGGGGGGGGCGCCTTATAATGAGGACCTAGAAGGGACATCAATTTAGAGAGATCACCATAAGTTTTAAACCAAATGCGCAAGAGAGGAACCCCGAACAGTGCCATGTTCAGGCGTGAGCGTCGAACGTGAGGACGTGAGGGTCTCAACGTAATCCTGCGTAGTCCCAGGCGCCTGCACAACAATGATCCGACACCTCTTTTTTCATGACTGTGAGCCCCTCCGGGTTTAGGGCTAAACCCTAAACCCTAAACCCTAAACCCTAAACCCTAAACCCTAAACCTTTAACCTTAGGGTTTAGAGTTTAGGGCTTGATCCCGTGAAAGCGCACACAGATTGTGGAGGCTTTGTGGGCAGCTTCGACCCCCACTTTCTGGTGTTTGAGTTCGTCACTGGCTTTTTGCTGCGACCTCGCCAGGCGGGCGCTTTGAGCTAGGGTCTATGGGGTTTAGGGTTTAGGGTCAGGGATGTTGAAAGGTTTCGAGGCTGGGTCTAGAGGATTGAACATATCGATTTAGGGATCTCTAGGGGGGGCGGGGGATTCAGGAATCGAGGCTTTGACTTTGGAGGGGTTCGGGCGCCTCTGTCGTTGAAGAAGTCCCGAGCCCGACCCCAAACCTAGATGTTGTCGAGGTAGAGATGGTCAACGAGTTCTCCGATGCCCTGCGGACGGGTACTTTGGGCCAAACCCTGCTTCGGATCTTTCCATGTCACTGTCTAAACTGTGGCTGAGGTTTACGGTGTGAATGAGGTAGAATGTACAAGAACTTGTGATGTTGAAGATGGCGGCAAATGGATTTTCGGATTTGAACTTTGGGCTTTGGAGCATCTATGTGTACAATTCTATACACATAGATGTGTATATATATATATGTATATGTATGTGTGTGTAAATACATATGCATAAATTGAAACACTGGGGTTTTCTCACAACATTTGCATTCTACTGTTTTCACCGCGCACATCAGGCACGTGTGGCAGTGGAAGGCATAAGGCTTAGGACCGACTTACGCTTGAATCAGACCCTTGGGACGACATGAACCCTAAAAATTGAGATCGTTTTACCCTGTACTACTCCTATGAAGGTATAGAGGCCATCAACCCCTTTAGGGTTCATGTGTCCCCTGGGATGTTGCTTCCAAGAAGGGTGGGTGTGGGGTGTTTTGGGCTTTCCAGTTGGGGGGCCGTTGTCATAGCATCACCGGCGTGGCTTCTGCAGGCTCCACGCTTTCCAGAAGCACGTGAAACGAACCCTAACCCTAAACCCGAAACCCTAAACCCGAAACCCTAAACCCTAAACCCTATAAGCTGCTCCTCCCCTCTGCTCTTCTCAGGCAAGTCGAGCGTCAAACAGATGATCATGGGGGCCGGCAAGACCTCGGTGGTTTCTCCGTTGCCCTCCGGTGGCACAAGCAATGCATAGATGAAGGGGGTTTGATTGGTGTTCCTAACAGAGCTCTTAATCTTTCATCTACGGTCTTCTAGATTTAGGACCATTCGGGACCATTCACTGTTCACTAGAGGAGGCAAACGATGTTTGGAGTTTTGGTCGGCGCGAAACCACATGCCCGAGGCCCGAGGAAACTTAAGCAGGTGCACCCTAAACCCGAATCCCTAAACCCTAAACCCTAAACCCTAAACCCTAAACCCTAAACCCATGCTTTATTTCGTGAGCCCGGGGGCTCTACACCCTCCTTGACCCCTCGACATGAAAACTCAGCGGCAGCACTACTGCCAAGCATCGTGCCCGGCTTCTGAATGTTTCTAACTTGTTGCAGCCCCCCCCCCCCCCACCCCCCTAAAGCCTAAAGCCTAAACCCTATAAACCCTATAAACCCTATAAACCCTATAAACCCTATAAACCCTATAAACCCTATAAACCCTATAAACCCTATAAACCCTATAAACCCTATAAACCCTATAAACTATAAACCCTATAAACCCTATAAACCCTATAAACCCTATAAACTCTATAAACCCTATAAACCCTTTAGGCCCCGACCTGAGAACCCCAGGCCCTGGAGCTTCCGGCTAGGCTCAACTAACGTGGGGTCTTTGTCGCGTAATATGAGGAACCAGATGACAAGGTACCCTAAACCCTAAACCCTAAACCTCTCAAGCCCGTGAAGAAATTGCATCCACATCGGTCAGGCTGGCGCTGATGCACGCGAGTGGCTGCTCACCTCGTTGGGGGGGCGGGTTTCCGCTAGTCCTTCGGAGGTGTGCATCTCGTGAGTCAACTCTCCTTCACAGCCGCAACATCTCCCAACCATGCAACGGCGATGTGCTGAACCAAAATCTTTGAAAGAGCAGATGTGCTGACCAGGCCTGTGTATTCGGCATGTTCGGTTTTGGGACTTTCTCGTGCGCCCTACAGTTCTCATTCCTCAGCTTAAATTCCACTATTTCATTTGGAATGACCAACGGTTTCTTGCGCCATCCAAGGTCTTGTTCCACAGTCGAACTCCCAACATCTTCAGCAACCCAAAGCAGATTGGCCTAAACCCTAAACCCTAAACCCTGAACCGACTCAGGTTCACGCATCGTTTGCCTCGTAGTGCCGCCAGCGCTGATCAGCCTTTCCCGCTCCGTGCTGCAGTGTCCTGACAGACTTTAGCTTCATCAGGTTTAGGGTTTCGGGTTTAGGGTTTAGGGTAAGGGACCCCTAATATAGCCCCCCAAATATAGTAGGATCCCCTTAGAATACGGACCCCCGAACATCGTAAAGGAACTGCTTCTCCACGGTGGTGCAGAAGCGCGTGTCGACCTTTAAATGCGACCGATCCCTTGACCTCGAGGCGAGCCGGGCTGCTTCGAAACGTGTCAGGGTTTAGGGTTTAGGGTTTAGGGTTTAGGGTTTAGGGTTTAGGGTTTAGGGTTTAGGGACTCCCGGGCTGAAGGTTAAATCAAGGGACTCAAAGGAGGGGCCCTTAGAAGGGACCTCAGAGGTTATTTAGGTTTTTTGTGGGGTTTAGGGTTTAGGGTTTAGGGTTTAGGGTTTAGGGTTTAGGGTTTAGGGTTTAGGGTTTAGGGTTTAGGGTTTAGGGTTTAGGGTTTAGGGTTTAGGGTTTAGGGACCCCAGGGGTTATTTAGGGGTTGTGTTTAGGGGCTACCTATAAGGATGAGGTATTTGAATGTTAAATCAAGGGGGGACCCTCATAAGGGACCTCAGGGGTTATTTAGGGTTTTTGGGGGCTACCTATAGGTAAGTAGGATAGAGAGGGTATTTCAGGTTAGGTTTCGGATCCTAAAGGTCCCAACGCTAAGAGTACCAGGGCCTTTATGGTGATCCCGTCGGAAGCAGGTTCTCGCCTGCGCTCGGTCCACAGGTTTTCGACACGGTCATCGCGAAAGCAAAGTTAGGGCATCGCTCTCGCAATGCTCCCCTAGGTCCTGTGCACATTCCGTGGTCGATATCGCACTCCCGCCTCGGTTCGGTATACTGCGCTCGCTCGATGTTGCGCAAACATGGCAGGCACTTGCTTTCCCTTCTCGCGGGCATGCAGGGCGCTTGAACGCGCGATAATGTTCGAATCCTACCGCACTGCCGTGCGCATGTCGTGCCCTGTGTTTGCGGTCCACGTCGGCACACTTTTAGTCAGCACGGACCCCAGACAGTGTAAGATCATGGCGATGGTGAATCATGCGATGACCCGAGTTCGCGAGCAGCATGCGCATAGCGCTAACATCGCGAAATGCTCGTCCTTCAGCAGAGACGGGAAAGTGCTCCCCACATTTGTGTGAACCCAAGCGATTGAAGCTGGAACAAATGCACGCGACGGAGGTGGGAGCCCGATTTCGACCAAGGAAAGCGCGCGGGATGTATGGAATTGGGGAGAGGAGGACTTGCTTCGTCGGGGGAAACGCAAATTTTGCTAATACTATTTTGAATGACGACCTGCGGAATCGACCCCTCGAAACTGTCCCTCTTCTCCCTGAATGTTGGCACCCCATAGTGGCCATGGTGCTGACACACCGTGCAGGGTTTAGGGTTTAGGGTTTAGGGTTCAGGGTTCAGGGTTCAGGGTTTAGGGTTTAGGGTTTAGGGTTATTTTCTGGCATGAGGGCTTTTGAATTGTACACTGTGGTTGAGATTATTGGCCATCACGACGAGACATTTTTACCCAGACCTCCTACGTTCTTATAAGGCTCAGGACGTATGTAGCGCACTGTCCAATATGCACAGAATGCAGGAAGCAAAATTCTGTCCCGGGCCTCGTGCTTAGAAGAGTAAGGTGAGCAGGAGAGGTTTTCAAATTTTCTGGATACAGGCGCTGGCAGTTTGTTGGGTTGAGCTGGTCCAGGATGCAAGATCGTGAGGAAAAGGTATTCCAAGTTTCCTTATGCTTAGGGTTTAGGGTTTAGGGTTTAGGGTTTAGGGTTTAGGGTTTAGGGTTTAGGGTTTAGGGTTTAGGGTTTAGGGATTCACATGGCGCCAGGCCGAAGTGTGTCGCCTTGAGCTTACATATACTCTCCTCTGATGAGCCATGACAAGACATATGTTGTTGTCAAGTCTTGCCGCGCCTTGCACGGAAAGAAGTTGTGGGGCCAGTGTCTTGTTAGCTGGGCCGTTCATGGCTGTAAGCCTACGGCCCTATCCCTAAACATTATAAACCCTAGGCCCTAAATCCTAAACCCTTTACAAACCACACCGTAGTTCCTACATGCTTCACAGGGTATCAGGGCTCAAGCGGAGAATCCAAGATTTGCACCGGATGAAAGCCAGGTTGCCCTTTCCGAACGCCTCGGCCGCATCGTGCGAAATGGCCGCTCGGAGTTTGTTGTATCCCCAGATCTTCCAAAACCCCTTTATTAAGGAATATACCCTCATTTATACTAAGGATCCTTACTAGGAATTAGGGTATATACCTTAATTAAGGTATATACCTTAATTCCTAATAAGGATCCTTTGTATAAATTAGGGTATATTCCTTAATTAAGGGGTTTTGGAAGATCTGGGTATCTCTGTTGACCAGGATGGGCTATGCGGCCTTAGAATCCCAGAATTCAACCCTACAAAAAGACCTTTTTGAGGGGTTATAGGGTATAATAATTCAACCCTACAAAAAGACCCTTTTTTGAGGGGTTATAGGGTATACTAGCCCAGCCTGGGAAGCATTCAGTTTTTGGACACGGCAAGAGCGTTTAGACTGTTGGACCAGACGCGACGCCCCATCGCGCGCATGGCGCACATGGAGTTTCAGTTGCTTTTTTCGACCGAAGCTCCATTACTTCTTGGAGTTTTTCTGTGGCGCACATGCTCACTTCGCCAAGGCTCTTGGTTCATGTTGTAACAAGATTTTCCATGAAGAAGTCGGTTCGGCTCGTGGTCCTGAAGCGCCCTATTTCTACAGGGTCCTTAAGGGGGAGTTCCAGGGGGGTATGTGACCCAATCCCTTGAGGACCCTAGAATTTATCTACAGCGTTTTGTTAAATGCAAGTCAACCCGAAATATCCGGCGAAGTCCTGGCCAAGATTAGCTGACTAGCAAGAAGCTTGAGTGCTTTTTATTTTCGTTTAATAGGTTAATAGTGGTTTGTTCTATTTGTCGCGGGAAAAAGAAGCTTCGACTATAGCGAACAGATGCTTCGTCAAAAGAAGGCCACCGTGTTACATGGGTCCTCTTAACAACGTGTTCACTGGTGACATAAACGTACCCATCGTTCGGCTGTGCACTGCCAAGCGAGTGAGGTTTTGCAAAAGGCTGCCAGTAGCAATGAAGCTCAACAGAGCCAAGCTGAGCAATGGCAAGCAGAACATTGAAGCTGAAGTGGAGCCTTGCCTGACGGCAAACCGGGGGGCCATGGAGACTGTTCTAGGCTATACATATAGATATATATGGAATATATATATATATATGTGTGTGCACGCACTACATGTTGCGCTAACTTTGCTATGTGTACTACATAAAAAATGTTCTTTCTATTGTACTTTGTAGAACGCTCCCACATGCACAGCTGGACAAAAAGGCGGCATTCCTCTTGAAAACTCGAATAAATAGACAGAAGTTGTCCATTGGAAAATAGGGTACATCGAGGTTTTCCCAACAACTAACGCAGGATTTCCTATTCATAGCTCCAAGAAAATATTTTCGATTCAAAAAAGGAATTCCTAGAACAACATGATGGAAATCGAGGATGCCTCTATTTAACCCAGGATGCCGAACCTAATTACAGAACAACCACAGAACCCCTAATATCCAAAAACCTCAAGTGAATTCAGGGCCCTTTTCTGTTAGGGTGTACTGGGGCGGAGCTTACGAGTGGCAAACTCTGGAGATCTAGGTTCCCCCGCCGCACACGCGCATGCACCTTCAGACCTAGAACCCCGGCCCTAATTCCAACTCAAGCCCACCTCAACCGCAGCTGAGGTGATGTGCTCTTGACGACACCTGGGGACGTCAAGTCGCTGCAGCTGCGCTTCTTGGAGCAGCCCCTGAGCCTGAAATACGAGGAGGTGTTCACTTTTAAATGCCATGTAGGGTTTAGGGTTTAGGGTTTAGGGTTTAGGGTTTAGGGTTAGGGTTTAGGGGTTAGGGTTTAGGGTTTAGGCTTGTAGACTTTAGGGTTTAGGGTTTAGGGTTTAGGGTTTAGGGTTTAACCCCAACCTGCATCCCGAACCCCATAACTTTGTTGGCATCCAGTCCATGAGCTCCAGGCTCTTTAGGGTTTAGGGTTTAGGGTTTAGGGTTTCGGGTTTAGGGTTTAGGTATTTGAAGTTTTGGAGCTCAGGGCATCCTAAAGGGACACAAAAAGCTGACGTGGGATCTGGTTTTTTATTCAGAATCTAGAGCTCTCCTCAAATGCTACTTCCTCAGCGCTGTCCGCCCTTCTAAGAATCACTCTGTATCATTTCATGTGGCTGGTTCTTCTGCGAATCAACCTTTTGAGGGCATGAAAGGTTTCTCTTACTGTTGCAAGAAGCCTGCCACGGGATGCTATGAGTCTGCACCTTCTGATTTCGATCCAAACAGCGTTGAGCTCCAGAGTCTGTGTTCTTCCGCCCCTAAGTTCGCGTGCAGGTTGGATCTCGCGAACGACCGCCAAGCACGGCGGAACACTACGCAGATGAGGCGCGGCATCAATAGGTCAGTAGGAGGCTGGCCGATCAACTTCGACGGAAAAAGTAAAGGCCTCCAAACACGCAAGTTTTTTTCGAAAAGAGATTCCGCCAGCACAGCTTTCCATTGTGGCGACCACATGCCCAGCAAGCGATATTGCGTGGCTGAAAGAGAGCATCGGTTGTCCTGTGAACCTTTTAGTGGCAAAGCGCCCTAAACCCAAAACTCCAAACCCTAAACCCTAAACTTTAAACCCTCAACCCTAAACAAGGCGTGAGTGTGTCCAGATGGGCCGTGCTTTGCAACTGCTCAAGGATGGGATCTGCGGCTTGGCAACGAAGCACTCATTTAGGTCCCCCCATTGTCGTGAACCCCCATTTCAGACAACTTCCCCTCCGGTTTGTTTGTCAGCTGACAGGCTAGGCTTGCGTGTCACATGCCCGTGTCAAATCTTTGAAGTCGCTTAACCCGACTTGCCACCTCGGAACACCCTGAGTTTAGGCTTGCCTGCTTCCGGTTTCTGATGGAACCGGTCCACCCCTTACAAAGAAATGCGTAAACCCACGTACTCACCCTTCTTTTACACTGAACCCGCGCACCCTCAGCTTCCAATTTTACAAAAATCCAAACAGTGCAAGCCCCATCGTTCTGCATCGGGACTCTCCAGGCCCAGTCCCACAGTGGAAGCCTCCATATGCACGCTTCGGCCAGCCCTTTCGTGGTTTAGGGTTTAGGAGCCAGCTCTAGAGCTTGGATCCCATAGCCGATAACACGGGGTCGAGAACGAAGAGCCACTGTTTGTCCAAAAATCTCGGTAGCCATAGCTCCCTCAACTCCCCTCCGACAAGTCCAGGGCGCTGGCTTAGGAGGTGCAAACCCGCTTTAGGATTCGGGCTTAAGCCTTCGAACCACCAGGTATGATCGACGAAGTCGACCTTGCACCCTGTTCCGGTCAGTTTTCCCTTTACGGGTTGAAGGGTTTGTTCTTCGACAGCGTAGTGCGGATTTGCTTAGGAAGTCAGGCGGGAGATGGAGGGCGCCGCGGATTCAAGTTCTAGTTTGCTAAAGAGGCTGAGTATGCTTCTTGGCACTGCGTGTGCCTGTAGAATCAAGCTGTTCAAATCTCCGCTGGGTTTCAGGAAGTTCCTCAGTTGCCTCCATCCCAACTCCACGGCCTCAATGTCCCACAAAACCCCGGGCTTTTGGTCACCAGACCCATCTGGGCCTTGACAAGCAAACCTCACCCCTAAACCCTGCACCCTAAACCTCATACCGCTCATACCCTTCCCATTTGCCCGATAGGGCTCCACAACCGGCTCCTTGGCTCCAAACAGCCACCAAGGAAGCAAACCTCCGCCCCCCCCCCCCCCCCCCCCCCCCCCCCCCCCCAAGGGTAACCCCCGAAACCTCGAAACCTAAGGCCCACAGGGTAGGCTAGTGGGGGATCCTTCATGGTTTCCCTTATTGGGTTTAAGAGTCTTCTGTTTGCGAAACGCAAAGTGCACAGAATCCGAAGCCAAAGTTTGGGGTAGCCCTGGCCAGTCGTTGCAAGGTTCTCCACCCACTCCGCTCGGAGCTCAACTTTCCGATCGGCCCCAAAAACCTCATCGAGGTGTCATGATTCATGATGCTTCAGTTCGAAGGGTTTTGCATGTGTGGATTTGGGGCTTGCATGGCTCAGGTT